AAACTGTTAGTGGCTTCACCTTTATTCTTGCATAGTTACAGTTTTCTAATACAATTCCTTTTAAGGGCAAAGTGGTTATGTTTGGTCTGTGTCCAAACAACTACGAAAATTCAATAAAAAGTCCTCAGCAAATTACTCCCATTCATTCTTTACTATGGGAGAGTGGAATCATCCTACAATCTCACCACTCCCAGCTCTGCCTCCAGTAATCCATACTACGTATAAACTTTTTAAATTTTTCATAAGGAAGAAAAAAAATCTCAAATCTAGCATGTATCTTCCACACCAACTTTACTAAGCAGGTTTCCACTCAAGAACTGTAAGAAACCAAATAACAGTTGAAATTTAAAAATTAATTATCTCCTTACAAAATTATGTCTAAGCAGCTGGTGTTTATCTGACTCTTGTCTCACCCTTTAGTTGTTCCTCACAGTCCATCAGTATCCATTCATATCTCGTGTTACTCTTCTACTTTGTAGAAGAGGGTAGAGCAAGATCATATTTGTTCTGAGTTTGTACACAGACTAATCTAACAGGATCCTGCTCCAAGATCAAAATGTGAGTTTCAGTGTTCTAATAACTAGCAGTATTTACAAAAATAACATTATTAGTCTGAGAAGGAACATTTCATTTTACTCTTATGTTAGCGTGCAAGTTCCTAATGTGTCTTATGACGTCTCTCCTCCACTAAGTAAATCTAGTATTTGAAGTCTGCATTCTGCAAATTCCCTGCTAGAATACATTTGCACACACACATGAAAGCTAAATTCATAGCACTTTGTTAATCAAGCAAAAAAACCCACTTTGTTTTGTCCATGATGAGCCTATAGCCCACTCAAACAGCAAAGCTGAAAGTCTCATTTAAAGGGCAGCAATGAATTCACACCTAGCTTTAGAAAGAATGCAGAGAAAAGGGGCAAAGGAGCAGAAAGCAAATTCAACCCAGCCAAACAACACACGTAAGTAACAGGCAACTGATTTCTTCAACACAACTCTGAAGATTCTTCTGCATCCCATATACTACACAGATGTCTCTATCTTTAAAACAAACAAACAAAAGAGGGCAAATAAATCAACACAAAACATAACAAACCACAGAAATCATGCCCCAAAGCATACTTTTTCATGGACTAAACTCCTACTAGCATCTGTCACCCCTACTCTGAACCCTCTGGAATAGGCTTGTAAATGCTCTGTACTGTGTATCTGTCACAAATTTCACTTTGTGGGGTGGGTAAAACTGAGCCCAATGTGTGTGAAGTTAAAGTCTTCCTTACACACCTTGGGTTTTCATATTTGTCCAGTATCACCACACAGCTCTCTGGGCCTTTAGTTTTCAGACTTCTCAACTAATCATTTCTCATGATTTTGAAAGCTACGTATTTGTAAGAACAAATACTTTTGTGGGAAATTCATCCTTTTAACTACCAAGAGGTGCTCACAAACAAACCAGTATCTGGGAATAGGTAATTCCACAGGTGAGAAACAGGAGCAGTGCCCACAGTCAGCTGGGTTAGGAATGTCCTCTGTCCATACCCTTTAAGCCTGGGGACAGAAATTGGGCTGGAGATAAAGTGGCAGCTCAACTAGGCTAAACAGAAGAAAACACTAATCTCTTCACTACTTATAACAGTAGAGAAAATACTGCAACAATCTGGCATGTTATCACAAGCCCATGTTCACTACTACCCTAAATTCTCAATCGTAGTGCTCTAGTGGTTTGCAGACAAATTAGCATAGCTCTGCTACTTGCAACAGGGCTTTCTTCCAAGTACCTGATAAACTCAGCATTGCAGGCCACTGATGGACCCTCCACTTCAAAACCTCTTCTCCATATCAACAAAACCAGCAGTTTCCACAGGGTGCATTAACCGCAGCATGGTACTAACGTGGCTGTTCGTGGCATCTGAACTAGGCTTCATACAAATGGTGAATTAAACAGGACTGCAAATTAATCCACACTTCAAGACAAAGTACTGGTAACTACACTACTTACTCGTTTTCACCTAGTTTCAAATGGCTGGAAATCCAAATGCAGCCAAAGCAAGGATGGGCTGCCCAAAAAGAGTTTCATGTGCATGAGTCTGTAGTGTCAGCACCTTGGTGTTACTAGTTTCTCTATAGAGATTAATGAATTAGTTCTGACAAAGTATGAAAACACAGAGCTTCTCAACAAGGCTTTACAGGCTCTCGAAGACACTCTGGCTATTCTGCTGTTACCCACCAGCCCACACACAGCACACTCATGCCTATTCCAGTACGACAAATAGCACGAGTGAAAAAGCAACAAAAATGTTCTCCACTGTTCTCCACTTGGACATCTACATGGCTACAGCAATATAAAGAAACAAATTTTATATATTCCCCAGGACTATCAATCTCTCTTACTCTCTTTTCTGCTGTATCTGTTTTCTCCTTCCAAGGCTTCAGAAACTGGAGAAGTAAGATTCATCTTTATAAAGTACTTCTTCCTCTCTTTCTATCCCCATGTTTAAGAGTGAGGGTCAGAAACAGACTACCAGTGGTGCAGCCACACAGTGGACTTCTTTCTGAAGGACACAATATGGCTCTAAGACCTAAAGGTGCAACTACTTTTTTTTAATCTTGACTACTGGACCAAATTCTCAGGCAACATTTTAACAATATTAATTCCATGCATTCATCCCTGTATCCCAGGCAGTCCACAGAACTGACTTTGTCAAGAGCCCCTGAAACCTCTGGCTTTAAAATGCCATTCCATCGAAGGGCACACACATCAAGTGTTATGTGTGAATTACCTGTACCTACACCGCACATCAGAACCCTGTGTGATGCTTTTTAATTGCATTACCCACGTAGCATACACCGCAAAACCAGTACCCAGATCACTTCGCTTTCAAATCTGATTAAATTCTGAAGCTTTTCAGGACATCTTTTGTTCTGAAGAGTACTGGTCACTGCAGCAATTCACAATCTCTCAGTCATGGACACCCCTTCAGTTTCTTTTGCTCCCAGTCCCCAGCTCAGAAGGCCAGGTCTGGGAGTCAAATGCTGCTGATCGCACGCTAGTTCTCCATTTGGCAGGTATACCACTTGACAAATCACAGCCAGATCGCGCCAGTCCTATTACCCTCCCACAGTTTGCAGTTAGACCTCTGCATTCGTTTCATGCCTGCTTCTCTCAAGTTTAATCTGTTGCTTTAAAATTACTTGGAAGAACACTCAGATTAAGCTTTATGTACTCCCACACTAACAATCCCTAAAGAAATACACAGAAACCAAAGATAATTTCTTTACAGTGTTAAATTGTAAGTTTTCTTAGTTTACAGTACTCAAAAGGATAAGCAGAGAAAGCAGAAACCAGCCAGGTCATGACAGTTAGACGTACTCTTCCAAAGAGGGTAACTATGTGCACCTGGTTACCAAAAACGTCTGCAGAGTTGATTACGTACACTAAAAGTAGCCTAATAGGTATGATTCTACTCATCACATCTATGAGGTAGGTTTTCTGTCCAAGGAAGTAAATACATGCAAGAACTATGTTTTTATATGCACACATACTCCTAAGCGTAAGGCAGAAATACCAGTTACCTTTAACTGTTCTTCTACTCAAAAGCATGTTGAAGGCTGACAAACAGAACAGTGCACTCTGATAATCCACATTATATACAGACTACACCTATGTAATCCAGTTGATAGTTCAGATTACTGTGCTCCACTTGAGAATTTCACTTTTTTTTCTATTGGTTATATACAGGAAGTTCCTCTAAGCCTCCTCTTCCACTTAAGAGTTTCATACGAATGGGAGACAGATGAGACCAGAAGCACGTTAAGGTGCCCTTCATTCTAAGGCTACCAGTCAAGTGTCGAAAGGTTTTGTATCAACCAAGCTGTTCCAGCCTGTCAGGCCTCAGCACCATGGATGGTTTGACTCAGGCACACCATAACCACAACTCATGGCCCTTGACAGACTCACCCTACTCCAATGTCCCAGTGGCATAACACTGATCCTGTCAGTATTGTAACAATCTTGCTCTGAAGTAATATGGAGATAACTTGTATTTCTGCTGCTACTTTCCTTCAGGGATTTTTTTTATGTGTTCTTTGTTTTGAATTTGTTTCCTTTTTTTATTTTTTTTACAACTGTGGGTACAGGGAAGACCCCAATGGTAATACGGCACTACTACTTCCCTAACCCTGAACTCTTGCTAAATAAGAATCATTATCCAGATTAAAGAAAAAAAAAAAGTAATTCAAATGGATGTCTTCTAAACTTCCATTTTCCATAACCATTGTACACGTATCACATGAATCCTCTGCAGAACTACACACAGACTTAATCTTACTACCCTGGTTATCCCAAGAGGAAAATAATTACAGAAAACTCTCCACGATAAAATCATTAAGCCTAAATCTGCGGGATCTCAGCCGGTGGGTGTGTTCAGCAGGTTGTTCCCAAACGCATCGAATTCCGCGCACTGCCCGCACACGCTTCCATGGTTTTCGAATCGGGCCTCTGCACAGTACTGCTCCATTCCCAAACTTTCCACAGGTCGCCCACTCAGGTCTCCTCCCGATAGCCACCCCGGGCAGCCCGCAGGGCACGGCTCTCCAAAACACCTCTGCGCACACGACTGGGATGAACATCCACCCCTGGCAGCCCCGCGCATCACCCAGCCAAGTCTCCACTCCCGATGCTCAAACTCCTTCGGACACCGGTGGCGCCCCACGCCCCCCACCCGCTTTTAGCCGCTTTTCGCCGCCCGCACCGGCCGCCCCCGGAGCCCGGCAGCCGCCTCCCCTGGGACTTGTTGAGCGCCGGTCCGTCCGGCCCCGGCGACCCCACAGCTCCCAGTGCCCGCCCGCTTCCCTGCCCCGCTCCGGGCCGCAGGCCGCCCCCACCGCTCCCCGGCCTGGCCCGGGACACCGGTCGGCCCGGCCCGCCCCGCCGGCGCCGCACCCCCGAGCGGGCCCCTCCATCGCTCCCGCCCCGCTCCCGCCCTCGCCCTCCCGGGACGCACCTTGAGGCTGCCCCGGAGGGGGCCCTTGCCGTGGCCGGTCAGCGCCGAGGGGGCGCTCCCCAGGCCGCCCTCCTCCTCCTCCTCTTCTTCCTCCACCTCCACCACCACATCTTCGTCTTCGTCCTCCTCCTCCAGCGCCGCGGCGGAGCCCTCCCGCCGGGGCGGCCTCCAGGCGCTCTCGGGCTTGGGGGGCCGGACCGCGTCCACCTGCGCGGCCGCCGCGCTCAGCCGCCGGCTGCCCATGCTGGAGCGCTTGGCCAAGCGCCGCGCCTGCATGGTGCCTCCGCCCGGCCGGCCCGGCCGCCTCCCGCCGCGCTCAGCCCCGGCCGCGGGCAGCGGCCCCGCCGAGCTGCCCAAGGGGCGGCGGCGGCGCTCACCGGGGGGCGGCGGTGGGTGTGTGCGGCGGGCGCGCCGCGGCCATGGGGGCCCGCGGGCGCGGCCAGGCGGGCCCGGAGCCGGCGCGGCCGCCCAGCCGCTCGCCCACCTGCTCCCGCCGCCCGCCTCCTCCTCCTTCCCCGCCGGCTGCCGCCCGGCCCGGCCCGGCTGTCGGGCGCGGCGCGGGGTCCGCTCCCGCTCGCCTTTCTCGCCGCCGCCGGTCCCCGGCGTCAAAACCCGGACTGGATTCCCGCCGGCCGCGGCTCCGCCAGGCGCGGCGCGGGGCGGCGGGGCCGCGCTGCCTTGGCCCGCAGCGGCGGGCGGGCTCCCCTGCGGGCGGCGCCGGCCCCCCACACACACCCGCCCCGGGCCCGGGACGCCCTGCCGGGGCAGCGGGGCCCGGGCCGGCCCTGGTGCCGACGGGTCTGTCTAAACGGCAGGAGGGCCGGGAGTGCCCGACAGGACACTGAGGGGCTGGAGCGAGCCCAGAGAAGGGCAACGAAGCTGGTGAAGGGTCTGAAACACGAGTCTTACGAGGAGCGGCTGAGGAGAGGCTGAGGGTGTTTTCCTGGAGAAGAGGAGGCTCTGGGGTGACCCTATCGCTCTCTACAACGTAAAAATACCTGAAAGGAGGTTGTAGCCAAGTGGGGGTCGGCCTCTTATCCCAAGTAACAAGGGACGCAACGACAGGACATAGTCTTAAGCTGAGGTTTAGGTTGGACACTGGGAGGAATTTCTTCACAGAAAAGATGATTAGACATTGGAATAGGCTGCTCAGGAGGTGGTGGAGTCACCGTCCCTGGAGGTGTGTAAAGGAAAGACTAGATGTGGCACTTAGTGCCATGGTCTAATTGACACGGTGGTGTTCAGTCATAGGTTGGACTCGACGATGTGAGAGATCTTTTCGAACCTAATTGATTCTGCGTGGTGCCTCCACCCGGCCGACCCGGCCGCCTCTCGCCGCACTCAGCCCCTGTGCCTGACAGCCCTCCACCCACAGGACAGGCTGCCAGATGTCTAGGGCTTCGGTGAAAAAATTATTTTACCTCTCCCCCCCCCCCAAAAAAAAGAAAAAGAAAAAAATGTAGGGTTTTGGGTTTTTTTTTTGAAGATAATAATTGAAGCAGTGTTACCTACACCCTGTTGGGGAGAAAGCTATCCAGACAGGGAAATAGTTATGGTTTAAATTGTCATAATTCTGTGCTTAAAATACCTTTCTGAAAAGTTTTTTTTAAAGCTAGAATAGTTTCCCAACAGTTTGAAGTTACTACAGTCATTTAAATTTATTATAGGCTTCTATGCCATTTATGAATGCCTCCTGAGATTGAATTATATTTAAGGTTGTCATATGCTTTTCCTAACCTCTTCCATTATAAGTCTTAAGGCTACGTTTACATGTTATTTTTGAGACATACATATTTTTTGCCATTTACAAATGAATTACAGTAATTCCCTTTTCAGTGTTCAGTACCTTTCTCCCTGCACATTCTGTTTTAGCCACATGTCAACAGACCAAATGTACACCTAATATGTCAACGTGGGGCCAAGCTTCACCCTAGGTTAATTTGTCTGTCAAAAAGTGATTATATTTTTCATTCTAGAATATAGCGTACAGAACTTCCTAGGCAAAAAATTATAGATAATACAGTACCCATTCTTAAAGAAATAATGAAGTTACTTTTCATGTCCAGCTATGTAAGTTGTTTGAATTTTTTCAACCCAATCCACAGAGTTGTTTTTGTTGAACGTTCAACGTTCCCAGAGACTATACGACCCTGGACAAGATCTGCAACAAAATTGCTGGCAAATTCTGGCGTATCAGGTGTCAGCAGTATTTCCCCACCGACCCAAAAGTGTCTCTTCCAGATGTTTTACCACAGCTTTGACCAGCTGCACTGCAACGTTGTCTCAGCCCATCTCACAGCAGAACAGCAGCCAAAACCTCTGGTACATGCTGCCACAAGATGTTCTGTCTGTTTTCCTGCCACTGCATGCACACTTAGCTTCTTGACACCTGGTTGATCAGTCATAGTTTTTTGAAGCTTATGTTGCATAAAGGATAGATTTGTGGAAGAAAAATAAAGGAGAAATTATTTTTTTTCATTTTATTCCTATGCTGAATGTTCAGATTTAACGTTTTGATTTGACATAATTATGTTTAGGTTTTCCATTAAACATGAATTCCAACATGAATTTCTATAGTACTCGGAGTTCCTGAATACTTGTACCTCAAAGGCATGGAAATGGAATCATTCCAATACCTCCTAGTCTTAAAATTATTTGAAATGTTTTGTATCATTTGAATAACACCTGAAACTAATTGTGGTTTTCTGTAGGGGCCTGTGTTCACAGCTATCTGAATTATAATCACGTTACTTAGGGTCCTATTCCTATCTGCCATGTATTGGGGGTATATGTTGAGAGACTTCCTTGACTTTTTTCAAAGTGCAGCAAAACCAGAACCAAAAATTACAAATTATATGCACTGAATGTGTTATCACTGACTAGGCTTATATGAGCCAGCACGAACACTGCACATAACAGAAAGGAGACCAAAGGATCTCTTGCAGAAAACGGTGATAAAGGATAGCTGGGCTTGCACAGGCACGTCTGTTAACTGCCATGACAACTCACACTTCAGCCTCTGTTTGAACTCCCTGTTCAGCCTTTTTGCCGTGTTAGTTCCGGGACTTGCTGTAAGGTTCAGCTGACTTGACACCTCTTGCCCTGAGGTTTGGTGAGTGAACACAGAAGCAGAGATTGTTAACCAATAATCAGGCTTTCATTTGTCAGTTCAGCAATTGTTTCAAAAATTACTAATTGGGTTCCCTGTTTTGGTGGCAAGAGGCAAAGAGAGGCTCAGACAGGTTCTCAGGAACCAACAAAACATTCCAGGCCTGCCTGGCTGCAGGAGGGTGCTCCATCCCCCAAGGTGCTGCCTCTTCTCCCAGAGGACTCCAGCAGATCATAGCCCCTTAAATCTCAAAGCGGAGCAGGACAGCAGCGGAGCCCTGCAACAGTAGGTCAGAGGAAAAGTGTAACCAGATTATGGTGGAGGGAGAGGTGATACAATAGTTTTGAGATCAGGAGGGTTAAGGAATGGCAGTCCAGAGTTCACTGGGCTGATGGGCAAGGCAGTCCTGGGAAGGGGCTTAGAGAAGACTAACTTTTATTAATAATCTGAGCTGCTAGGGCTTCTTACTCCTGCTGGGTTATCAAATGCAACGAGAAGCCAGTGTTGACAACTCTACAACAGATTGGTTAAAGATTTCTAGCACTTCTCAGTCGAGCCAGATTGGAGCTGTAGTAAGAATAACTTCTCTCGCAGTATTTGATACAAACAAAAGATAGAAATGACTGTTTGATCCATTTGTCCCAGTCTGTCTGACTTGCAGTATGAATGGAGCTGAAGCTGAACTCATGTTGCCCTCACAGGCTTCCCAGGGGAGCTAAATTATGTAAGAAGTCTTCTAAGGATAGTCAAGGAGTCCTAGATACAGTCCTCTTCAGCATCTTTACATTCACAAATAATTAAGAGTCAAACACAAGCCATAATCCCCTATCACACATCAACATTTTTTTCCTTGAGACTCAGTCTTAGCACTCTTGGGGTGAACTTGCTGAACAATTCTGGCCCATAGCCACAGCCTGACATCAAGTAAATTCTTGTGATACAGGGGGTAATATGGTATCACTTAGCTTAACAAAGATATCTCATGATTGTACTACAGCATAATATGCCTCTCACAAAAGTACGGGCTCTGGCTGGAATAATAGCTGTTTACATGTCAATGATTTCCAGGCTTATTAAAAGTTAATGTGCACATTCGCACTCCCTTTGTGTACACAGCTCTCCAACACAGCAGAAGTGTTTCAGATACTTCTTTGCCTCAAATCTTAACAATCAGTTAATATTTCCAAAAATGAAATGTCTCTCTCTCTCTCGACATATGAGATAATTCAACTAATAAGTACATATAAGCATATATATCCCCCTTTTGAAGTTCTTCTAGAACAATCTGTGAAGGTGAATTAGTGACAGCTTTTCAGTTCATCTTGAATAATTATTGTCTAATTTGTTCAGTATATCTACTGGGCAGCCCTGTGCACTAGCCACAAACAAAAGTAAAAATCTAGCTCTCCCTAGCACTGCCTTAAGTACTCTATACTGATTAACATCAGGTGAAGTTTTCTTATGATACTTATTTCTTCCAAACATTTTATACAGTCCATAGCTCACTTATTACAGTTAAATATTCCTCTCATTTTTAATATAATTATTAACTGTACAGTGATCATCACTGCAGGCAAAGCTTGCCTAACACCACACTGTGGGGAATGAGATCCTTCAAAGAGCAGGTATTCTTCCATAATGCTCATGGAGGTACTACTCTGTAACCACCTCGCTCACTGGCCCCAGAACTGCTCCCACCAGGGACCATCACTCAGTGGCACAGCTGCCAAGCAGCAACAGACACTAGCACAGCTAACAAGCATTGCTACGGGGGTGCTTTAGTTTGCCTCTCAGGAGCAGGCACATACATGGCAGTGTGCATTTTACTGGACCACCCACAATACTGCCTCTGCTAGCTCTCCTTTCTATTTTATCTTTTATTATTTTTCTCAAAATGTGCCTGCAAGGAACAATACATTTCTTTAATATCTGAGTATTTTTCCCCTTGTCCATGAATGCCAGCTTTTTATCACTAGAGGCAAGATCCCCTCTGCCCCTATCTCCTCCCAGACTGATGCTATGGTTTAGTTCCTTACATTTAAAAGTCTAGCAGCAAGAGGAAGAAAAGAAACCCTCAATATTCTGCACATAAAACCACCACATATTTTTTCAAACATAACCTGCTCAAGTAGTCATTCACT